ATAGATTTAAATTTTAAAAGTAAATTATAATTTTACGGCACGATGATAACACGACTATTAAAGAAAGTAATAATCTTTGATGCGTTCCCGAAAGTAGATTCCGGATATCAACATAAGAGTGCACAGGGCGGATTTGTAACTATTATTATATCAATATTTTTATGGTTTTTAATAATTAGTGAATTTCGAGAATACTGGAGTTCAAATCAAAAATATGAGTTTTTGGTAGATAGAAGCATAAATCATAAAATGCAAATCAATGTTGATATTACCGTAAATACGCCGTGTATATGTGAGTAATATATATACGAAGGTTAGGAGATATCTAATTTCTTAAATTATTATATTTATTTATTTATTTATTTTATTTTATTTATTTATTTTGGCTAGATAATATTAGCAATTTCAAAAATACTTTTTTAAATTATATAATATTATTGATTTAAGGGAACTGATATTTATCAGCTGATTATACCCCCCACCTTTGTAATACCCTACTGGGAACCTTTTTTGTACCCCAAAATTAAAGTCACCAAACTATTTATAGAACAATGACAAGTTCTAAAATAATTAATAATATAATTATAAGTTTTAATATAATCAATTAACCTCTTGTATATTTTTATACACCCCTTGTATAATTATGCAGATTTGTGCATAAAATATGCACAAATTTGCATATTTATACAAGAGGTGCATAAAAATATGCAAGAGTTAATTAATTATATTAAAACTTATAATTATATTATTAATTATTTTAGAATTTGTCATTGTTCTATAAATAGTTTGGTGACTTTAATTTTGGAGTACAAAAAAAGGTCACTAGTAGGGTATTACAAGGGTGGTGGTATAATTAGCTAATAAATATTAGTTCCCTAATAAAGTTGTTGTATTTAAGCTTTAGCAAAACTATCAAATAATAAATTGTTTATATTAGTTAGCAAATTATTTTCTAGCAATATTTTGGTATCTATTAAACAGATTTTAATAATCTTACTAGTATTAGAATTATAAAATAATATTTTACAAGTTTATTTTTTTTTTTCAGTATTAAGGTAACCTCTTTGGCCATGGGAACATTTTATTAGTAATTATTTGCTATTACAGTTACAATGAAAATACAACTAGCCACACGTGTACCTTTTGAGTGCCTATTTAAATAGTCCACCTGCAGGTTTTACACTAGATGCCATACCTATAACTCAACTATGAAATTATCTATTTAAACTTTCTGATCCTAACCATTTTTAGCATATTATACTAATCTGAGAACTACCATCTGGCCTGTTTTACTAGATTGTGTACTCTGCTTTAGGACTTTTGTAACTTATCCTGGGTTTGCACTGACTAATTACTGGCTTGCATTTCTCTGTTAAGCAGATACACGACTATCCTCAAAGTAAACCTACTAGAGCCTTCCATATCCCATATCTAGCTGATCCAGTCATCGCAGTTGTCGAGGCTTCCACTCACAATTTGGTATAACCCAATTGAACTGCTATGCCCTTGTAAAGTTCACTTCAACCCCAGTACTCATATTCGGGTCTTCCTTTTTCTATAATTATCTTATTGGTCTCTTCCTTACTCCCAACCTGTGACCCAGAAGATTCAACTCTGGCTAGGCTCTAGAAGCTTTATGCTCCATCTTATCATGGTATATAATTTTATAGCACATGTTCTTTTTCTCCAATTGGGTTCGGCTAGTCTCCAGAGATCACCTAGCCCTTGTTGTTAGGTAGAATCTAACTCCCAAATCCTAGTCATGGTGGATGGCCACCCGGTTTTTCATGCTGGCTAACTAGGTTGATGAGCTACTCTTCTCTCCAATTGGTGGTCAGATTGGTAGATTCCCCCACTTAAGGATCTTGTTATTGTTCGGTTCTCCAATCTTGGCTATTACTTCTAAATTTAGCCTTCCTGTAGCACTGTCGAAAGTATTACTACCTCCTTACTCGAGTCTTCTCAAACAGGTTTTGATCATCCCGGTTTCTTGGCATTTCTGCGCTGAAGCTTCTATAACAAGATGGTACAACCAAGATTACAGATTGTAGATCCAACTGATCGATAGATAATCGTTACCTAATGCAAATTTATTTTTTGAAAAATGTTATCCATAGGATTCGAACTCTAGACCTGCTGCTTAGTAGGGTGATGACTAGACCACTTCACTAAGCCACTACACCCTTTACTTTACAAGTTTATTTAAAAATTGAAAATATATTTACTTAGTAAAAAAATAATTTTATATTGTTATAAAGTAGTATTTGTAGCTTAGCAATTTTATATAGTAAATTATATAAATCTGTATATTACAATTTATTATATAAGGGTGTGGTGACTTAGTGAAGTGGTGAAGTTGTTGCACCCCCAAACAGCAGGTCTAGAGTTTGAATCCTATGGGCAATAATTTTGAAAAAACTAGATTTGTATCAGTTAACATTAAGATTATCAGTTGGATCCAGATATCTATAATCTTGATTACACTATCTTGAATGAGAGCTTTAGCAAAATAAATCTAAGAAAATGGAATTACTGAAAACCCATTTGGCAAGTTCTAAGTATAGAGTAGCAGTAATCTTCAATGTTGCTACAGGAAGGCCAAATTTGAAACCAAGGACTGAGTCTGAAGAACCAAATAACCAGATCCTTAAGTGGGGGGATATACTAGCCAAACTACTAGACTGCCAACCAGAGGAAAGGACTTGTGCTTTGAAAGCATGTGCCAAGGGGAGGGTAACCATAAGGCACCTAAAGCCTGGGCAAACTATCTCTTCTGAGTTGCCGGCTAAAAGTAAGGGAGAAACTGGTAAGGAATTTGGGGAAAAAGAAAGTTGGAATATGAGTACCAGGGTTGTTGTGAACCTTACAAGAGCAAGAAGTATGTAACAGAATCCTAATTAGGAAGGTTGTAGCTTGAGATACAGATTAGGTTATGGCAATATCCAAAAAGATAGTTTGAGATATGAACCTGATAGCGGCAGCACAACAGGTACTAGTTAGGTGAAAGTTATCAGAATATGCAGGTGAATATATGGGTAGGACATGTACTATTCTGTTAGGTTTACCACAAGGATGAATGCCCTAATATAGTTTGGATAAAGTCTTAGAGTCATCTATAGCAATTGCTAATCTCGTATGAGTATTAGGGTAGGGTGTTTTACAAAAGTGGTAGCTAGAGGATTTAAATGAGTAACTCCTTAATTGGGTTATAGGTATGGCAGCTAGTGTGGAACCTAGGGCAGAATACTTAAATAGGCAACTAAAAGTTGCATGTATAGCTAGTCATACTCTTATTAGAAATAACCAAAGAGCTTAAATAGATAATCTTCTAGTTAGATTGCAAGTATGGCGGCTAGTGTAGAACCCAGGCAGACTACTTAAATTAGATATCCAAAAGGTGTACATGTGGCTAGTTGTATCCTCATGAAATGAATGTATTATTATAACTACTTGAATAAAGCTCATGTCAATGGCCTAAGTGGTCATCTTAATATTAAAAAAAAAACAATTTACTATAAAATTTTTTTATTCAAAAATAAATTATCAATTAATTTTAGTCAAATTTTAAATGGAAACCCATCTCCATGATGACCCTACATATAGCAGCCAATCATATTTTAGAATTATTACAATTTTTTTTTATATGTTCTTTATTTTTTATTATAAAATTTAACAATTTTTAGCTAATTTTAATTGGCCAATAGTAAGCAACTTACTATATTGCCATATGCTTAATTTTGATTGGCTATTCATATAGGGTCGCCATGGTGACCCGTCATCATAAACTAATACCCTTAATTTTAATTATATTAACTTTTTAATTTTGTAATATTTTTTTTTAAGCTATTTTTAAATTACTAATTTTTATTATATTATTATCTAGCTTTAAGCAAAATTTATTATAAAAGTAATTGGCTTTATAAAAATTATTTTTATATATATAGTTTATTGTATAATAACAAATTATTATTAAATCCTATTATATTTTTAATATTTTAATTATACTTATTAACAAATTTACAATAAAATAAATTCAAATTCCAAATTCAAATCCTAAATAAAAATAATAAAATTTCAAATCTTATAAATTTTATCAAGTATAATTTTTAATAGCCTATTAATATAAAATAAAAATTATCAATTATATACTGTATTTAATACCTATTATCACAATTAATATATGGGACCTCCCAGAGCAAAAGGGGGAAATGGGCCAAAAAAAATTTTTTTAAAAAAATTCAATATCTTGAAAAATTAGAATAAAATTAGTATAGAAATAAAATTTCTAATTTTTTGGCCCATCTCCCCCTTTTGCTGTGGGGGTCCCATATATAAAGTTAATTCTATACAGTATCACGGTAAATTTACAAAATTATGGTGTTGGTGACCTAAAACATCTTTCACCCTGAGTTTCTAAATTATTTCCCCACCACTCTGGAAATGATACCTATAAAATATATATATATAATTATATTAACAAATAAATCAATAAATAGATAAAAAAAAAAGCTCAAATAAAATTAACTCAATTCATACTTACGTGAAACAAAACATTAAAAAGAAAAAATATAACCATTGTTACTATCTGAGAAGAGCTATCAAATGCGGCAGAAAGCACGTAATTATATCTGTGTTATATAAACAAAAATTAGAATATAACTATATTTAAGTGATTCAAAATCTATATATGTAAAAATAAAATGCATACTTCTTCCACCACTAAATATCATAGATAACCAACAGTTATAAATACATTACATAGCTTTTTAAAAAGGCAAAATGAATTAATAAATAAAAATTCAACCTTTGGATACCGATGATATGCCCATCGTTGACTCAGATAGCTTGCAATAAACCCTGTTATTATGAAATTAGTATATGTTCCAGGAAGGATTGATAATCCATTACAAATTAATGGAATTGTTACTAAATTAAATTTAGCTTTGGGAAATTTTTTGTGCAAAAAGTAAAATGGAACAGGAGCAAGGAATCCTATGAGGAATCCCCAAAGTAAGGGATGATACATAGAACCCTGAGCAAAAATTTAAGGTAATAATTAGAAAAGAGTGGCATAAATTTGAAATATAAAAATAATTTAAATAATTACACTGCCAAAAGTTCTTCCTGGTCCAATTAATCCCCAGATTATCGATGCTGTATTAAATACTTGTGATCGATATCCTGTCCATTGACCAGTTGGATCTCTCATTGTACCATCTAAAAAGGGACGTTTGGCATATATTATCAATTGTAGAGTCCAATAATTGATAAATGCACCAACAACAGTACCCCACATTTGTGCTGTAAACATTGCTTTAGGTGGAATTTTCATGTAATGTCCTAATAAAAAAAAACCATCAATAAACATAAATAATATGTATATATACAGTTGATACTATCTGATTGAATTAAAAGATAATGCATTTTACAGAGTTTGAGTGCTAAATGCATAAAAATAAGAAATTTTCATGCCCATGGATTGTATGCAATTAGACAGTATCAAATGTATGATAAATTTATATTTATCAAAAAAATATCTCATATAACTACCAAGTTTAAGATCTGATACGAATGATAGGCATTGGTACATAGCCATATAGCCATAACATTTAAAATATACATTTGCGATTGGGAGTCCCGGAAAAATATATCTAATTTATATGTGGCTAAAGATAAGTTATAATTTAAAAGAACCAAATAAGAAAATATAAATTTCATTTACCCGCAAATCATTTCTGTGATGACGTTAAGACCAACTTGATTATTTGACACGGCTTGAATAACTCCTTAAAGTTTTATTAGAAAAAGTTAATAAATTGTAAATATGAAAGTAAATTATGTATATAACAACATTACCTATTGGTAATACCATAATGCATGCTATACCAACAGCGATAATTAAGCCCCACCACGGCAGATGAGACCCGGATGCGTCACAAAGAATTATTGCAACTAATAACATGAACATAAATATACAGGAATACCACCAATTTGGAATCTCTAAAGAAAATATGCATAAATAAAATAAAAAATAAAATAAATAAATAAATAAATAAATAAAATAAAATAAATAAAATAAATAAATAAATAAATAAAATAAATAAATAAATAAATAAAATAAATAAATAAATAAATAAAATAAATAAATAAATAAATAATAAATAAATAAATGAAATAAATAAATAAATAAAATAAATAAATAAAATAAAATAAATAAATAAATAAATATAATAATTTAAGAAATTAGATATCTCCTAACCTTCATAATTTCTCATCATCTTACAATGAATATCTTCAACTTCCTCTGATCGACTTGCTTTGAATCTATCCCAGATTTCATTACCGTAAAAGAGAACAACGTGCGTGATTGCAGCAGTAAAGGCTATAAAAGAATAAAAATACCCAACAGCGAATGTAACACTTAGGTATACAGGGCCATACTCTTTATAAGCAGTTTCGTTCAAAGAGCCAGTGTTAAAATCTATTATAGTAGATTGATTATATCTAGACCATGAAATTAAATATTAAATAATATTATACAAAATAGATCAACATTTGTTATAATTTTTTTGTTTATTAAGAATTCACCTTTCACCATCTTTATTTAAAGAATATGTTGCTAAAAGTGGAAACTTTTTTGCCATCCTAATGAACAAATTTAGCAATGAGAAATATAATAAAGTTAAACTTAAAACATCAATCATTAATCATATTAATTCTTACCAAAAATCATTGTAATACAGAATTGGAGCTATTATCCAAGAACCAACTATCACACCAACGTACCAATTTACTTGTGCCCACCTAAATTATTAAAAATGATAATATTCATGTTATTATATGTCTAAACACCTTTAATGATGCACAGACTGATCTCTGAATTCATTCTTCCTACCAAGGTGTATACAGTGGTCCGGGCTGCCCTATAGCATTCCAATCTAAAGAAAAATTTAATATACCAAGACCATGATAACCACTCCCCAGCCGGAATATATCATTATTATATGGCTTAATCAGACATAATAACGCTATGCTTGTCAGTAATGGGAACATAAATTGTGGAACAAATTGCCACACAAACATTATTGTAAATGTTATAACAAAAAATTTTAATTTGTCTTGTGTATCGGACACATCTCCATGAAGAGTTGAAAATAGACTGGAAAACACCAAATTAGAAGGCCACTATAAATGGATTATATAAATCTTAGTTAACTAAGAAATATATATATATAATGGAGTGAGTCAGTAGAAACATACCAAATTTTTTTTAATTAAAAAAATTTTTTTTTTGAACCTTTAAACAAATAGCTCAACAGCAAGAGTTTTAACCCAATTTGATATAAACTTTTTTTTAAATAAAATTTGCAAGTTTATGGAATTGATTTATTAAATTATAATGTAGTTGAGCTATCTTTGTTCAAAGTTTTAAAAAAATTTTATTTAGAAATTTGGTTCGTTTCTACTGACCCACTATTAAAGGAATTAAACGTACCAACATATTAGCAGGCCGTACAAGATCTATTCAATTGTAATATATTGTTATTAACAATTTTTAAGATTAAAATAAAGAATCAAATAATAACCTACATTTCCTTAAAAATCCGGCCAAACCGTACCCAATCATTTGAGTGCTCATTAAAAGCAACATTCCTAAGAAGAAACCTGGGTGCTGATTATAAAATAGATCCTGTATTGCAATAATGTCCTATAATTTGAGATAAAAAAACGTTAAAAGAGCAACATAGAGAAGAAATTAAAATAATGTAAAAATTATTAACTGTGCCATATGCTGAGCCACCACCAGCCCCAGCTGCCACAGCGATGAGAACATGTTCTTTGATATTAAATGGACCTGTTTGAAAAAATTATATAAACAGAAATCTTGTAACTGATCAAGTTATCAATAAATTTGTAAGACATGAAATGTTACCAGGATTTAAAGTAAATTTCCATTTATAAAATTTGAATTCGTCCACTGGAAGAACACGAGCCATCCATTTTCCAACAATATAGGAAGCCAGTAACACAAAAAATATTGAATAGCCGACGCCATTAGAACGAAAATAATAGAATTCCGAGACAGCGGCACCAAGTGATGTAAATAACTAGAAAAAAAGTTACAAATTAGAATATTGAAAAGAGAATAATTTCACATAGACTAACATTATAAAAACATACGGTGCTCAATATCCAAAATCGAATTGTAGTACAAGGTAAAGACGGATCATCTTTTACGCTGACTGCCTGAACTCAAGTTATTTTCAATTTATGATAAAAAATAATTGAATCGATTAAAATTAAACATGATTAATTACCGCAGCCACCATAGGTATTGGTGAATTTTCTAAAATTTCCGAATCTATTGATGTTTTACGACCATCCAATAGATATTCATTGTCCTCAAGATCTCCAGTACTGGTTCTATTTCTCAAACCATAATCATTGTTATCCAGAGATTTATTTGATATTTCTGGTAGTTCAAATTCTTCTTCAGTTGAATAATTTTCTTCAAGTCGTAAATATTTATTTTGAGACATTTCACAACTTTAATAGTGGATTTTTTATACACCGAAGAAAAGAGAAAAAGAGTTTTATAAACATGGTTTTTGTTTTTCAATTAATTATCTATTAAATTGGGGAACTCGCAGATAAGTTTAGGGACATTTTAATACCTTAATATGTACAAAAATCTGTTTCTTTTTATAGGTATATGCAGTTTAGAAATGTAACATTCCACCCAAAATTTGGAATTCATCGGAATTCACCAGAATTATAGTTCTTAGGATGCCATTGCCTGATGAACTACTTATTGCTAGAAGCAGTGAACAATTATATCATGGAAAATTCAATGATTTTCCTGATTTCCTTGATTCCGCGAATAAGAGTATCAAAGGGAAAAAGTTTGTAAATTTATTGTCCGAAGGACACTACAGATGGTGTAATAGTCTATATGTTAACAAATTCTGGATTTTGATTGGTTATTTATACTGTAGATCATTTCTTAACTTTACCACATGGTTTATTTTAAAAAAATATCAAATTTTTTATACGTACGTATTCTTACATAGCAGATAGTTATTTAAATAGACAATAATTAAAATTGTACACGTAGCTGGTAGCGCAAACCTTCATAATTTCCATTTCTATTTTCGTATGTTACACTGAAATCGTTACGCACTACAAATGTGAGTTCGGCCAGAATAGATTTAAATTTTAAAAGTAAATTATAATTTTACGGCACGATGATAACACGACTATTAAAGAAAGTAATAATCTT